CAAGGCCCTGCAGGCGGCATCTGGCCCTGCCCCCTGCCACCACCTGGCTCCTGGAGCAGTAGGGGGGAAGCAACTGTGACTGGGTCAGCAGGCCCAGTCACCGTTTCCTCAAATGCAAGCCTCCTTCCAGCAGGGGCTATGCTACCGGGCCAGCAGAACTGCTGTGGAGTGCGGTGGCACTAGGGGGGATTGCAGAGCTCTGGCCCTCCAGACACCGATGCTGCTGCATGCAGCCCACTGTAGTTCTGCTGGCCCAGCAGCACAGCACGCCCACCAGGAAGGTGCTTGCACTCTCCAACATTATGACAGGGGCTGCTGCTCCCAACAAGGGCCCTACCTCCTCCCACTGCAGCAGTAGGATGAGGGCATAGCTATTCCTTCTCCCTCTAGAATCCGATGGAGGGGACAGCAAGGGGCCTATTCTGCCACAGAGAGCAAGCAGGCAGACCCAGTGACAGCAGGCAGACCTGGCTGCCAGTGGGGGTAGAGGAGACATTAACTCTCCTCCCTGCCCCCCTCTGCCTCAAGGATCATGGTGCCTTGCTGCTGCTGCAGCAGCAAGTGGGGAGCACCCAGCAGATCCAGCTTGGGTCGCTGCTGGTGGGATAGAGAGGGGGAATTAAATCCCTCCCTGGCCAATTCAGCCCAGACTGGCCACGCCCCCTCCCCCTGCAGCTTAGCTTCCCTGCAGCTGGGGGTGCGCTCTAGCACCACCCGGTCCTGGCCTGGGCAACTGCAGACATATGCCTGCATCTCCTCAGTCCAGAGAGGATGTTTGTTCTGTTACAAACTGGTTCAGCCTAGGCAGGTTAGACTAACCTGCAAAGGTTGAATCAATTTAGGCTCTGGCTTTGTGAATGTCTGTCCCTAGCCCAAGAATTGCTTCAGTACTGTATGACTTAAGATGTAAAAGTTTAAATGAAATTTATTTTTTAAGAGTATATTCAAGAGTACTGCAGTTCACACACCATAATAACGTATTTCCTTTCTAGAGGCTCATAGTAGAGAGCAACAAATGCTATGAACACATGTTTAGTAATTGGTTTACTTGTGACACACATTAATGAAACTTTGTTACATGTGCTATGCCAAGTCTTCAGGTTTATTGAAGATAAACTGTAAGAAATAGGTATTTTCATTATGAAACAAATGGAGGTCTGCTGTTCTATATGCAATCTACGTCATAGTGCAGTACTTACAGTTATCCTCCACATCCTTTTTACTGTCTTCTTCTGCAGGAAACACTTGGTTGATAGCAGCCAGAAAAGTCTGTCAGATAAAAAACATTGACACTTTCAGAATTTCCACCAAAAACTGGAAGACAGTCCTAAAACATCCTTTGCTAAGTTGGAAGTAAACTCATTATTCATGTAAGGAAATTGAAAAATTGTCATTGCTAAACCTTACTGTTGCAGATTACAGTGCGTTCATCCAACTAAAACAGTTGTGCAGTGTTATTTCTACTGCATTCATTCATACAGACAACTATAAAGGAGTAGGGCTTCATCATACAAGGAACAGGACAAATCCAAAGTCCACTAACAAAAGCTTACATTATAGTTTTCAGACAAACAGAAGGTGGGGAGATTACAATAATGGCAAAGAAAGCTACATTTTCATTGTAATTTGTAGTTTAAAACACACAAGTAATATTACTTAACACTTTTTATCCACAGATGCCATCCACAGAACCAAAAACCAAAGTAAATAGTATCCCCATTTGGATATTATAGGGATGGGCAATACAAGAAAACAGTGAGTAAACTTTTACTAAAAAGGAAACAGATTCAGATAGGACATATGCCATGCTCAGAGTTACAGAAAATCAGTGGAAGCCCGAGGACTTAAAGTCACATCTCACAACTGTTATGATGCAGTTGACCTAACCTATTTAAATTAATTCCCATTTAAAGACAGTCCATTAGCTACACACATAATAACATCTCCAAAACACTGTAGCTTGACATACATACATACATACATACATACATACATACATACATACATACATACATACATACATACATACATACATACATACACACACACACACACACACCCCGTCTGTAGAAGAACAAGTACTTCTTTAATCCCAGTACTTGAGTTGCACAAGAAACCTATTTATCAACTGTTCATCACCCACTGGGGCAAATTTATAACAAAAGTGAACTTGTCTCCCTCATACGCCAGAAATCGTAATTAATATGGTTTAAAAAAGGAAAGAGAAACATGCAACAACAGATGTGTTAGAACATCCATAGGGTACAAACATACTATTGTGTTTTTAAACATTACACACTTTTGTTTAGACATGTATCTGAGTGGATACAGCCAGCATAGACTGCATTTGCCAGAGAAATGTAGCTCTCTCTAGTGCAAGGTTTCTGCTCATTCAATTAAATGTTACAGTTGCCATGCTGTTTCAGAGATAAGTTCAATGTGAAAAAGGGAATTGTAACACAGTATTAGTCTACTTGATCTAAAATGGCAAGACAAGCAAAAAAAAATGTAAGTAATTACATTTTAAGCATGATTATCTATTTAAAAAGTTCTTATTAAAACATTTCACTAAGCAAACAACTTTTCTATGGCAGTCCATGGGAAGTATAGAAAGCTATTCCCTCTTACTTCAGCACAATACAACATAACATAGCTTACATCAGCCGTTCTCAACCTTTGGTACCTTATGTACCGCCTGCTGATCAACACAGCAAAAGCAAAACCAGAAGTTCTACTGTGGCACTTCCGGTTTCACCACTGCAAATCGAGTCTCGCTTTTTCCTCGCAGACCACGGCCCGGGGCAAAGCAGCCTGCGTCGGGGCCCCCCTCCCTGTTCCCTTGAGAACCAGTGAAAGCCCTGGCGCACTGGAAGTGGCGGTGACCAGAACTTCCGGCCCGAACAAGCAAAGACACCTCCAACCCGCCGAGCGGGGAGGCAGCCCAAACTCAAAACGCGGCACCCCCGTACTCCCCGCCCGTGTCTCGTGTACTCCAGGGGTACACATACCACGGGTTGCGAAACACTGGCTTACACTACATAACATCCTAATATAGTACCACCTGAGGTCCTGCACAACACTCCCTGGAAGGGGATCTACAACAGGAGTTCCATATACCAGTTTAACCTAAATCAGTTAAGTCTGATACTACACCCAACCAGTTTATCTTAAACCAGTTTCAGCCATTTTGAAAGTGGTTTATGTACACTGAACTCCTGTTCTGTTATGGGCTTAAACCAGCTTCTGATCACTTAAACCAGTTTATGTGCAATTTCTATCCCTAACCCTGGTGTATGAGATGCCTCATGGATCATGTTCTTATAGTCCTGCTACACTTTTCCCCACTTTTCGTCTCCCATTAAAAGGTTTCTGTCACAACAGTACACCCTGTCTTCATAATAGTCAGAATCTGGTTTGAATAGACCTCCTGAACAAATCTATCTAATCTACTTGATATAAATGTCCTTAACCAGACAGAGTATACTAGGTGGTCCTCCAGAAACCAAGGGTTCTTACTGCTTGGTTTTGGCATTTTAGAGATCCCCAAATGATACTGTTTGTCATAGTTGGATGTTACTGTATTTTCTCACACACAAACACCCATAAATAAGATACACACCTCGTTTTTGAAGGGCAAAAAGAAGAAAAAAGATCTTTTCCTGAAAATAGTGTTATGGTATAGTATTTTCCCCAAGCAAAACACAGGCAAATCAAGTAGAGGATGAACCAAACATTGTGGCTGCTTTGTTTACCCCACAGGATGCCACAAGTGCTGCTGGCTGAGCCAAACTACCTGAGCTTTCATCTCCTCAAGCTGAGAAGCAGTGAGGGAGGGAGTGGGGCACAGGCAGGAGCAGGAGTTGAGGTGAGTGGGATTGGGTCATGCTGCACTCAGGGCAGGCAGTTGTGGCACTGGGAAAGGGGGTTACAACAAATCCGTAGCCCTCCTCCCAGTGCTGCCACCGCCTGCCTCAAGTGCAACCTAGCCCAGCCCCCACCAGGAAGAGCCCAGTGCTGTCCTAGGCCCCAGCCCACAGTGGCAGCCCACCCTCACCCCGAGCACAGATCCAGAAGCACATGCCACCCGTGCCCTCCTGGGGTGTGCATAGCAGCAGCAGCAGCTGTGCCCCCTGGACAAGGCGCTCGCAGTTCCATCCCATGCCCCGCCCCAGCTGTGCAGCACCTGCTACCCCTGCCCCTGCCCCAGCTCCAGCCCTACACTCCCTCCTTCGCCACTGCATGCATGCCCCTCCCCACCCCTGCTGCAGCAGCCTGCCCATGGACTCCAGGTAGTCTTGCAGCCCTACCCGCTGCCCTGTATTTAGCCACATTAGCGCCAGCTTTCTGCCACTTATGGCATGCAGGATTCCTACTGGTCACAGCCAACAGCTAGGGAGCCCTGCTTGCTCACTATGCTACACCATATGCAGCAGGTACAGCATTATTTTCTTACCCCCACCAGAAGCTCAAGATATTCCTGTATTCATTTGCTTAAAACATGCGCCCTATATTCCAGCAGCTGATTTCAGGGGAAAAGGTGAATGTTCTATGTCACAAAAATATATTACATTTCCTTTTTGCCTCCTCTAATTTATCCAGCATTAGTTCACAAGAGTGCCCTCAGTAAAGACCCTTTCTTTAATTACCTTTAATAAAAATTAACTACAACTCAGCACTGTATCACAGCCCTTTCTGACTGGATGGTATTTTTGTTTTAATTTTTCTAGGAATACTTGTAAATTGGTTTCTAGAAACTGAGCAACTAGAAATGTGTGCAGACATAAGAATTATATCATAATGCATGCCTTTCTGGAGCTCTCCAGGCTAACCTCTCTCTTACAGTATGTGGATTTAATATTTTAAAAATGGAATTCAAGTAAGTAATATAAAAGAGAACAAATACTTAACTTCTAGATAAAAATCCTAACACCTGGATTTTAGACTCAGTATAAAACATATGCCTAGTTTTAGCTATACTATTAAGGAATATAACTGGTGTGTCATGCTTATAACCACATTACACTATTATTTTCTGGATGATTGTTTACCAAGTGAAAAGTGCATGCCTGAATGCTGCCAAATACTATGGATGAATAATTGAAGTAGAAAGATGAGCAGGCTATCACGGCCACACAATTAAATACATTTCCCAAAGAACTCTTTTTGTCCTACTATCCCTTTTAAAGGGGTAATGTTTATTTTGGAGCCCTTTGTGTTTTTTCTTGCCTTGGTCAAAATGTTTCTTTTCATGACAATTTTTAGGACAAAATGCACTTAAAGAAATTAAGCAATTTTTCTTCATATGAGATACCAGAGAGCTCTCATAGTGACCTTGTTTAGAAATCAGCTTTTTAACATTAAATGGGGCAAGAAACTTAAACGGTCTCCTTAGGAACTAGATGGGTAAAAAGATACCTTTCTGTATGACTCAGATCTTCTTTCTGTCATGTAATCCAATATTGTAACTATCCTTTCCTTACACTCCCAAATGCAACTATGTATAGATGCCCCTTGCTCTTTTTCGCTACAATTCACCGAACAGCACAAAATTATGTGGAGATTGCAAACAAGAAAAATATGATGCAAACATCACATGATCCAAATGGAAGGTTTTTTTCACATAGCATGTAATTGAAGTGTAGAACTTATTGCCACCTGGTGTTGTGAAAGCTGACAGTTTATCCAGATTCAAAAAGGGACTGGACAAATTCTTGGAGGAAAGGGGCATCAATAGCTATTGAACACAGGAGTTAGGGGTACTGCCTCTAAATCAGAACTTCCTAGACCTTAAATGCTAGAGGCTGCAAGTGAGAGGGGAACAGTGGAGAAAAACACCTGGTCGTACCCAGCAGTTCACTCTTCCTTTAAGCATCTACCCTCTGCCCTTGTGACAGGATACTGGGCAAGATGGACCTGTGGTCTGACCCAGTAAAGGGCAATTCTTATGTTCTTATAACTCCTTGCTTACAAAAAAGAATTTTAAACTTCACATTCTAGATGTTCCGATCTTCCTGGGCAAGCAGGAAGGGCTCAATTGCTTTACCTCTCTCTAGGAAATAGGGGGGATTTTTTTTGTATGGCATAGCGGAAATACATACGTAAATTAAACTGCCTCTCTAGGAATAAAGAACTCTTAGAAGCTATCAATCTGAGCAAACCAAATATTAATAATAATATTCAGAAAATGAGGGTCTTTAATTAATAGTTTAAATGCAAAAGGCAAAAAAAAAAATCTTTTGAAACAAGCTAAATTACTCCCACAAAGGAAG